CCCCCTCGGCACTGGCAGCCGCCGCCGCGGCGTCGGGCTCGGCCACCATCAGGTCCGTGGTCCCGGTGGGGTTGGCGAGCTCGGGGACGGGCATCGTGTCTTCCATTTCAGAGACCCAGGCGGAGGTGGGGCTGCCCAAGCTGCAAGCCTGGGACTTCATCACCTTCTCTAGGATGGTGTCCAGGTCGGGCTGGCAGGGCACGAAGTCCGTCTGGATGGCCCGCTCCTGCATGCAGCTGGCCTGCACCCCTGCCTCCACGCAGCTCCGCAGTCCCAGCACCTTCTCGTAGGTGTTGCTGGGGGGCAGGCGGGTGCCGAGCTCACCCCCCACGTCCAGCGGGTCCGTGTGGCCCGGAGCCTCCTCCATCCCCACGAAGCCGCTGTCGGCCCCCTCGTCCAGCGAGATGGTCTGCGAGCCCCCCACGTTGCGGTCCCCGGCTCCCTGGTCGCTCAGCTTGGTGTAGGTGGAGCTGCGGGTGAGGGATCGCGCCGGGGACCCCCCGGCCGACTCGCCGGCGCCCTCCTCCTTCAGCGCCCCATTCTGTGCCACCTCCATGCTGTGCAGCAGCGTCTCCAGCTTCTTGTTCTGGATGTTGATGTCCACAAAATACTTCTGGAGGCCTTTGTCCTTCTCCAGTAGGTTGTTCTTCACCGTGTCGATGACCTGCTTCAGCTGCTTGATCTCCTTGCGAGCCTCTTTCAGCGCCAGCTGGGCCTCCACGCGGTGGCACTCCTCCTCGATCCAGTCCTCCTGCATCCGTGACAGCTGCGTCTTCAGGTCCTCGATCTCAGCATCCCTGCGGAGACGGGAGGGACCACCGCGCCGCTGAGGGGGCTGCAGGGACAGCCCTGTCCTCGTGTGCCCAGCACTGGCTTGCCACCAGATCACCCAGTAACACTCCCAGCTGGGAATAAGGGATGGAGCCAGTGGCTTAGGGACCCTCAGGAGTGATGCTCAGGGAGCCTCGGAGTGATGCTCAGGGAGCCTCAAGAGCAATGTTCAGGGACCCCTAGGAGTGATGCTTAGGGGCTCTCAGGAGTGACACTCAGGGACCCCAAGGATGGATGCTTAGGGACCCTCAGGACTGATGCTTGAGGACCCTCAGGACTGATGCTCAGGCCCCCTGGCAGCACTGTTGGGAACAAGGGGAGCTCAGGGATCCCTGGAAGTGACACTCAGCGTTCTCCCAGGGAGGCTGCAGCACCCAGGTTCCCTGAGGGCTGCGTGGGGGTGGGCAGGTGCCCCGGGCAGGCGCGTGGCAGCTGGCACGGTGGCGGGGCTGTGCCTAAGCCTGAGAGGAGCAGATGGGGATTAGCCACCCTCTGACGCTGAAATTCAGCAAAAGCGTGGCAGGGACTTAAAACAGGGTGAGGGGAGAACACAGCCACTGCAGGTGGGACATGGGGCTCTCCAGTCCCCAAATCTGCAGCTCCCGGTCAGACAGGCAGCAGAGCCAGATCCCTCATGCCAGCAACGCCATGGTACAGCTGTGACCCCACACCCTGGGCACGAGCACGAGGACAAGGTGCCGTGCTGGGAACTGAGACACCCAGAAGGACCAGTCCCAGACAGGAGCTGCCACAGCGGGTGGCGATGGCTGGTGCTGGCACCCTCACCATGAGCTCACGTGCTCACCTGTCCTGCAGCCGCTCCTGTGTGTCCTTCAGGCGAGCCTTCAGGTGCCGGATGCAGACCTCCTTCTGCTGCAGGGGAGTCAGGTACTGCTCCGGCGTCGGTGGCTTTATCCCATGGTTGTCACTGCAGAGGTTGTACTTGGACGAGCGCCTGAGGAGACACAGATGTCACCCACTGCCAGTGCTAGGGTCAGCACAGGCTTGACCCAGGGGTTCTAAGGCCTGCTCTTGGGGTGCAGCCCCATAACACATCCCAAAGGAGCCGTGAGAGCAGGAGGGGCAGGGTGGGTGCGTGAGGGTGCTGTGCCCTGGCAAGAGGGGCGGGGTGGGTTGTGCCTCAACACAAAATGTTGTGCCTCTGGCAGGACAGACAGGGTGGGTGTCTCTGGTGCTGTGCCCTGGCAGGAGGTGGGTGCAGCTCCTGGACACAAGGGTGCTTCTGCCAGGTGCTCTCCCTCTGTGGTGCAGGGACACCGAGGACTCTGTGTGCCCAGAGTGACCTTCCTGGAAATACCTGTAGTGGATGGAGACCCCAGGGTGGGATCAGCCCTGCCAGAGATGGAGGCACAAGGGTTTGGGATGGAGCAGGTCCTGAGATAGTGGCTGTCCTGCCCATGATGCTCCTTCCCTGGAGCAAGCCAGGGAATCCAGCATCTGCTCCGGGCTGGGCCAGCAGCACGTCTGGACCCTCCTCGTGCCACCACTGGCACTGGGGCAGAGGAAGTGACAGCTCTGGCCCAAAGCCTGGGACAGTGTGGAGAGCAGGGGCTGGCCAGGGGCAGGGCTACATGGCCAAGCTGGGAGGCATGTGGAGAGCTGGGAGCTGCACGAGTGGCTCTGGCATGGCAGTGGGGGTCCAAACTCCCTGTGTATGGAAAGGAGGCATCCCAAAGCCCCCCTGCACGGTGTCCATCAGCCCAGCAGCCTTTAGCCATGTCCAGAAGCATTGTGTTAGAAGCATCCATGCCTTGGAATGCCCCATGGCAGCAGGATGGTCATTGCCTCCGGCCACAGCACGCATGACACCTGCTCACCATGTCGTCCTCGGACCCCTCAGATCCTCCCAGAATGATTCCACCTCTGGGAGCTGGCAGGGGCAGGAGACAGGCAGGTGATGAGCAGTGCACCACAGGCTGCTGTGCCTGCGGGGCTGGGGCTGGTGCCCATCCCACAGCTTGGTGCCGGCTGTTTGTGCCCCGGACACACCCGGAGCTCCCTGCGGAGAAGCCAGGGGGCCACCAGCTCTTGCCAAACCTTTGCCGGGCAACACGAGGGGATGGAAGCGAAGCTCCTGCCCTCGTGCCTTTGGTCTGGAAGGATCCGGGTGCTCCTTGGAATGCAGGAGTGGCGGGAGGGAGCGTGCAGCGTGCAAGCCACAGCCACAGCAGGACGGAGGGAAGAGGACGGGGGATCCCTGGGTGGCAGGCGGGGGGACAGGGAGGGAGACGACACAACAACAGTGGCGGAGAGGTTTGGAGGAGGAGGGTAGTGAGGGTCTGTGGAGACACACCAGCAGCTCCGCCAGCTCCGGCTCCCCCAGCCACCAAGCGCACAGCCTCGCTCCAGCGGCCCCTGCGCTCCTGTCCCCGCTGGGCACCGGCACCGGCAGCTGCTCCCCCTGCCCGGGGACACCCAGCAGCCGCCCTGGGGCCACGGGTGATGGGTTACCTTGGGGTGGGGCTGCTGTCGCTGCCCTTGCAGGAGCCAGAATTGCTGCTGCTGCTCAGCGAGGAGGTGCCGTAGGTGTCCCTCCCGGGGGGCGAGGGGCGCCTGGAGGCAGGGAGAAGAGGCTGTGTCTCAGGCCGAGTGGCTGAGGGCGCTGAAGACTTAAAGAAGGAGGCAAAGCCACTCCGTCCATAAACCCCGCGACTGCCAACCACCACACCGAGAACACACAAGACAAAAGGACAAAACAAACAGCAGGGATCAAAATTGCACGGACATGGCGACGGGCACAAAGGCAGGGCTGGGGGGGATGTCCACCCGCTCCCCCTTCCCTGGTGTGGCAGCCCTTGGATGCTGGCACAGCATCCTTGCACCCTGAGGATCTTGGGAACCCCTGGAATCCCCTTGGAAGCCCCTCGGGAGCCCCCTGGGAGTCCCCTGGGAGCTCAGTCCCGGCACAGCTCGAGCCACATCTGCCAGAGCATCACCTAACGTGGGCAGCTCTGCCTCCTCTCCCTGCCCACGCTGAGCCTGCACCTCCCTAGCGGCAGTCCAGGTCATGGAGACAATGGGAGGGGAATAAATGATTTTTCTTTCTTTTTCTCTTTACCACTCAGCTCAAGGAGACATTTTCCAAGGGCTAACATACCTCCCAGTTTCACTGCCCCAACCCAGTGCTCTCCACCACTGCCTGCCTTCGCCTGGACGGATGGAGGGGTCGGTCCTGGCCGTGGCACAGACGGACAGAGGGACGGGGCGTGCAGCACTCGGGGAGCTGCATGCACGGACAGGGAAGTGCTGTGCAGCGGGCAGTGCCATGCAAACCCCTGAAAGCTGGGCTGGGGGTTCGTGCTGCGAAGTGGCAGCTGGTGATGGTGTGGGGATCGTGGGGATCGTCTCATCCCGGCTGCAGGCGCTGGTGTCCAGTCTCGAGGTCAGAGGTTGAAGCATATTCACCTTCGTGATCCTGTGGACGCGCGTCTGCTCCCCGGCACGGACATGGCCGCGGTGCCACGGGTCCTGGGCACAGGGAACTGCGGGTGAAGGCAACAGAGAGAGCAGGTGAAGGCAGGAAAATAGCCCTGATGAGATGGGGACCCTGTGGGGTGAGCCCTGGCACCAGGGCATCAGTACAGACCCCAGGGCCACCAGTAAAGGGACAGATGAGGACAGCATCCCCTGCACATCTGGGCTTTGCTTCCCACTTGTCTCCCACAGCCCAGAAATGCCAGAATGCTGCCTGCCTGCGGTCCCACCAGGATCCTGTGGGCACACAGCAAGGGTGTTCTTAATTTGAAATGCAAACCCAAAAGCAGAGCAGGTGCCTGCCCATGGTCTGGAGCTCCTTTCTCATCATGGCACATCCTTCCCCCTGCTCCCAGATCCCCATCCCTGTCAGGAACCAGGGACATGCCACAGGGACAGAGTGCCTGCAGTGGTGGCATAACTGGGGGCAGAGATGGTACAAGGGCTCTGACCCAGCCATGGAGCTCCCCGGGCAGGCAGCTCTCCCTGCAGTGGGCTGCGTGCCTGCTTTTCCTTAATTAAGTGCAAATCCCCCATTCAGCTGTGAAATCAGGTGAGGAAGAACAGATCCCTGCATGATGAGGCAGCAGCCGCTAATCCCTAGGGGAACACAGAGCCCGCTTTCCTATAAATAAAAAGGCCAGATCCAGAGGTTTGCAGCACCTCGGGCACACGCAGGATGTGAGGGAGTGAGGGAAGCATCTGCTCAGCACCCGCATCCTGCCGAGCATCCCATGGCACCGCTGGGATCCCCACTGTGCTCCCACACTGCCAGAGACCGACAGGCCGAGGCCCCCCCAACCCCAGACCTGTTCACAATGCCAGCATTTATCTCAGATTTTGGCAGAACAATGCAGGAGACGGGACCTGCCAACACATAATCGATGGGTGACAGGAAACACTGTGCTGCTGGCCCTGCTCCAGGGGAGAGTGAGGAGTGGGACAACAGAGGAGGCAGAACATCCAACTCAGCCGTCCCAATTGCCACCCCAGGTTATTCTTCTTCCAGGATACCTCAAAGCCCACCCTGGCTAGCCCAGGCCCCTCCTCTGCCCAGATTTGCTGCTCCCTGATCCCCAAACTAGGGCATCAAAGATCCCATGGCTCTGGTGATGTGAAGTCCCAAGTCCCAGCAGGCACAGTGCCCCATGACAGAGGGATGCCAGCACTCCTGGGACACTGCAAGAAAGATTTGGGATCCTGCTGCTCCCACCTGGGATGGATTCTCCCAGAGATGACCTGGGCAGGGTAAGGCAGTGTTTGGTCCTGCTGGATCACTGTTCCCAAGTGGGCAGTGAGCTCTGCTACTGCAGCAGTGTGAATCAGCATCCAGCAAGAGCCGCGCGTGGCCTCACGCTGGCGGGAGCATCCTCCAGGATTCTCCATCACCCTCCAGCAGTGCCACACAGGGCTGCAGCACAGCCTGCACTCCAGCAGCTCTCAAGCAGGGATTTAGGGAGATTTGAGAGGGTTGATTCCTCACCCCCTCCCCTGCAGTCCAGTGGTATCTGGTATTATCCCAGGGGTGCCCAGCATCAGCCCTGTGGTGCCCATCATCAGCTCAGCTGTACCTGGACCTTCCCCACTCATGGCAAGGTCACCCTCATGCCACACTGCTCTGTGCAGGGGTCCCTCTGTGCCCCCCTGACACCAGCAAGTGCCAGCACTGCGGATGGCACCTGTGTGTCCAGCACATGGGGCTCCTGAGAGCACCCCACCCCACACCCCAGGCACCTGCCACCAGCATCCACAGCCTGGAACGGCTCTGTGGGGACACCTGGATTTGGCCTCATGTCTGGGGACCTCATTTCCTCCTCCTCTCACTGCTGCAGACTTGCCTGGTGCCCACATTGAGGCTAGATGCCTCTCAAAGCATCCAGGGTGTCTGGAATTTAATCAGTGATAATAAATTGTCATTATTCCCAAAGAATCAACCAGCCACTTCAATCTCCCCAGAAGCCTCATTGTGCCCACAGGCTGCCCAGGACAGGCAGGGTGGGCAGATCCAACACCAAAGCTAAACACACATGTTCCCATGGGTACGTGGCTACTAAAGGCAGAGGAAATGATGGATCTGCACTCAGAATTACCCCCATGCACAAGGATGAGTAGCTGCAGCACCAATGGAGCCTCACCAGGAAAGCAAGGGGAAGTCCAGGATTAACCCTGGTATAGTGGGTGGCATCCCTGCCCATAGCAGGGGGTTAAAATGACAGAATGGTTTGGGTTGGAAGGGACCTTGAAGGCCATCTCATTCCAACCCCATGCCATGGGCAGGGACACCTTCCACTATTCCAGATTGCTCCAAGCTTTGTCCAACCCAGCCTTGAGCATTTCTAAGGATGGGGCAGCCACAGCTTCTCTGGGCAGCCTGTGCCAGAGCCTCACCACCCTCACAGGAAGAATTGTTTCCAAATATCCCATTTAACCCTGCCCTCTGTCAGTGGGAAGGTATTCCCCCTTCTCCTGCCACTCCTTGTCCAAAGTCTCTCTCCAGCTCTCTTGCAACCCCTTTAGGCACTGGGAGAGGCTCGTAAGAGCTCTTCTCATAGGAGCCTTCTCTTCTCTACCAGCTCTCTCAGCCTGTCTCCACAGCAGGGGTGGTCAGGGCAATTCATAGACCAAGACAAAGATGACTTGTGGGGCATTGCCTTGTCTCCACACAGGGGGACCAGCAGGACCCTGCTCAGCACAGCACCTCTGTGTCTGCCCTTACTACCTGGGAATGCCAGCATGGGCCAGGGTCCGCCACTCCAACGTATACCAAATCCAGAGATTGTCCTGCAAACCACCTGTGTGGTCCAGCACCCTGCAAATCCCCTAAAATGCAGCTTGGGGGCTGAGCAGGGTGGACACTGCCCATTGCAAAGACCTGTGTGTTGCTGGTGCTGCTGCCAGCAAAATTGCCTGTGAGTCTCTCAGCACGTGTGGAACAGAAGGACAGAGCTTTTACCAACAGCACCAACCAGGGCTTGTTCCATGCAGTGGAATTAGCCTGGGGAATTCCTGATAAATAAAAGCAATGGGCCTTGATAAGGAAACAGCTGGATCAACAGCATGAAAAAGTGGATCCCCCACAGAGGGCTGGGATGCAGAATCAGCACAAGTCCCCCACAGTCCTACTGTCCTGGGGTGGGTGACACCGTGGGCTCATCTCCTGGTGGGTGCGCGGCTCCTGCCAGCTACAGAGAGGACCTGGGGCACTGCTGACCTACTCATCACACCATGACAGTGATGGATGGCAGAGCAGTGAGGTGCCTCAGGCTGAGCTGGATCACTGCCCCACAGAGATGTTTGTTCACCTCAAATCCTGCCACTTCCCCACTCCTTGCTGGATCCCCTGGCTGTGTCAGTGATGGACAAGCCAGCCAGGTATGGCCCTTCCTAGATGCTGCTCACATGGGAAACAAGGACACAGGATGCCTGGAGAGACCCTGAAACCTCCAATGGTTCCTCAGCTTGTTCCTCTGAGGGTTTCATGGCTGCAGGCTCAAGAGATTGCTCCCATCAGCTTCCTAAGCTCAGCTTCTGTGGGATCCAGAGGGATCCAACTGCTGCCAGCTCACCCCATCCCCACAGGGATCATGAGAGAAGATGTGAGAGCCTGCAGCTACTGCCCATGTCGATGCTCAGCACAACACTGCTGTGCCAGCAGCCACCACATTTCCCTGGATTTCTCGCTGACTGCTTCCTTTGTCGAGGCTCCCATCATCCTGCCTGCTGCCGGATTTCTGTGTTTCCCTTGGCACATCCTGTGTGAGGAATCTTTTGCAATGGTGGCACTGAGCCCAAGCGTCTGAGAGCAGCTTCACCCACTGCAGAGACCTGGGAGAGGAACCGTGGTGTCCCCACGGGTCCCCTGGGAGATCTTCAGCCTCCCAGGATGAACAAGAGTAAAAGCAGGGGAAACGCAGAGAGGAAAATCACAGCTTTGTTTTTCCAGGGGCCAAAAAGGGCTCACAAGGACCTACCCTGCCTTCCTGACACCCGCTCTGCTTTTCTACACACTAAAAATAAGCACAGTGCTGGATGTGGCCAACACCCAGCAGCAGACGTGGGGCAGAGCTCTTGTTCCTGGACAGTGTCAAGGCCAGGGCTGCTTGCACTGGAAAAGGGACTGGGATACGGCTGGGTTGCAGTGGGAAGGAACAGGATCCAGCAGCCAGGGCTGGCAGAAGTCCTGGTGCAGGAGGAGGTCAGCACTGGGGCCACCACCTGGGCAGCTGGGGGCTGCCATGACCATGTCCACTCCTCCTCCTGCAATGGGGTTTTTTTTGGGATACAGGGATTGCTTTGCTTTTGCTCCAAGAAGATTCCAAGGATATAGGAATATCTCCAGAAGCTGGGAGCCTCTGCTCCAGTGTAGAGGGGTTCATCCCAAAGCTTCACCTGGGTCCCAGGCAGAGGGAGATCATGGAATCACAGACTCATTTAGGTAGGAAAATACCTTTAATACCTTCAAATCCAACTGCTAACCCAGCACTGCCAAAGCCACCGCTAAATCCAGCTCAGGGCAGAGCCGAGTGCTCGGGGCACAAGCAGAGACAAACCCCATGGGGTGTTTATGCAACACCACCAGAAAAATCAATGTTGCTAAGAGTGGTTGTATCCCATTCCAAAAGGCAGCAGCATCTCCTTTTATTCTCCCGTTTGTTATAAAATGCTGAGTTGACATCCAGAGATTACAGGAAAACAGACACCATTGGGAAAGCTCGGGTTATGCAGCTCATCACTTTTCCAGCTGACCTGGCTGCAACTCCGAATGGGGAGGCGGCAATTCCCAGCCCTCATTAGCTAAAAATAAGGTGCTTGACCAGAGGGCAAAGGCTGGGGTCTTGTTGGGGACTCTGGAGCCGAAGGGAAATGGGAGAAGAGCTCCATGACAAGTGCTGTAGCAGCATGAGAGCAGGAGTGGGATACCCAGGATGAAGACCCCGTGGTCTCACCCCGGACCAGGAAGGTCAGCAGGATGGGATGGAGGTGACTTCCCACTGCACAGCCCATCCTGCAGAGGTGCTCTGGCAGGAGCCGAGCTGAGCTGTGTGAAGCAGAAGGAACAGCCCACTCCTTTGAGATACAAAGGCAAAAACCTGGAAGACAAACGCAGCTTCCAGTGCAACAGCTCCTCCTCCCCTCGGTGCCTCTCGCGGCGGAAGCAGGTCTCCCCTAACCACCATCCACCTTGAGCGAGGGCTGGGAATGACGGCGGCGCCGGGGGATTAGTCCTGGCCTCCACACGGCTGGAATGGCCTACTTTAACCACACATTTAACCACACACCACATCTCCTGCCTCAGCCCGCTGCAGCACTTCCGAGATGGGAGCACTGCCCCTCTGACCTCCACCCCGGGACCCCTGGCCACCAGGA